GGGTCCCGGGGCACACGGTGAGCTCTGCAAGTGCACTTCGGTGTGGTTCTGCGGGTGTGAAGGAGCGTCGGGGGGTGTCGCGTGGGGGAGACCGCTGCGGGCTGTCATGGGGTGCATGGAGGGTTGCTGTGTGGGGGCACCCAGAGATAGATACCTCGCAGCCAGCATGGGGCTGCTTGGGAGGGGGGCAAGTGAGGCAAGTGGTCAGACCCCCGTGTTGGGGCTGGGAAGGGGCACTCAGGGACCAAGGCACATCGTGAGAGCACCCCTGTGACATACCAACTTGCTGGTCTTGGGACCTGCCTGTGGAAGCAGGGGAAATGTGGAGGAGGCCCCCACCTGGGCTAGAGGAAAACAGTAGGGAGATAGACCGGGGTGTTATGGTGAGACTCCTTGACAGAGCTGGGACAGGGCACATGGTGCTGCCCCACAGCAGGGAGGAGCACTCACACTTGAAGTGGGACAGGGGCACGTGGAGGGGTGCTGCAGTAGGGCAGGGATGCCCAAAGGATGGACCCCATGCCAGGCACATGGGCAGCAGGGCACATGGGGCAGGCCAGGAAGATGTGGGACAGAAGAAAAGTCGGGTAGACAGGTGTGCCGTGGGTGAATACATACCAGGGCTCCCATCTCCTAAGGGTTGGGATCAGGGATCACCCTTGAAAAGGGAGGTGCTAGGCATGGTAGCACAAGGTGGAAGGCATAGGGAGGATGGGAACCTCCAAGCCCACTGACACCCCCTCTCCTCTGCAGGTGAGAAGCCCTACCACTGCACCTGGGAAGGCTGTGGCTGGAAATTTGCCCGCTCCGATGAGTTGACCCGCCACTACCGCAAGCACACGGGGCACCGGCCCTTCCAGTGCCACCTCTGCGAGCGAGCTTTCTCCCGCTCCGACCACCTTGCCCTCCACATGAAGCGGCACATGTGAGTGGTGGGCTGCAGCCGGACTCAGTGTCCCCAGAGCCAGCTCACAGTGTAAATAGTATCAGGCTGGGGACAGCACTGGGGAGCAGCCAGCCACTCAGCCCTCTCCGCTTGTAGTTGATAACTAGTCTTCTCCTCTAGCCCCTGCTGTGACAGCTGGGCCCATCAAGTGGTAGGGAAGGGCTGCTTTGGGAGGTAGATGGGGAGTAAAGCTGCAGGAAACACCTGCCCAGGTGTCACCACTCAGCTCCCTATGCCTGAAGGGTCCCCCTCCAGCCAGGCACCTGGTGAGTGGGGTGGCTGATGCATCAGCAATCTGTCCCCAGAGCTCCTGGCTTGTATTTGGCATCAGCTTAACTTTCTCCCCCCAAATTCTGGCACCCCCCTGGCTCCAGGGACTGTGGTGGCTGACTCTGGCCAGGTTTTGGCTAGAGACCCACGCCTGCTGGGTGTGTGGGTTGTGGTGCTGGGAAATGGGTTGCTGGTCTTCTCGGTTGTGGCCATCAGAACAAACCTCTTGACCCAAAAGCCCAGAGTGGATGGGGGGAGGGTGGGACTTGACTGGCTCGTGGCTATAAAGGTTTGCAGGGGTTAGCAGCATAACATCACCTTGCACAGGGAGCAAGGATGCTCCTGTCACCAGCCTGGGACCCTGCTGAGCAGTCCAGTCCTGGCCATTCCCACAGTTTTCTACTCAGGAGCCTAAAATGTCTCTACTGGCTCTTGTCTGCTTTAATTTGTCTTGTTCTTCCCCTCAGGATGACACCAGGTACTGCTGCAGCTGCCTTCCCCATGCTGCTTTTTTTAAACTTAGTGTGTAAAGGACAGTGAGTCCAGCTATGAATGCCCAGGTCTCTGCTATACTTGAAACTTTTGTAGAGGGGGAAAAAAGAAAGCTCAAAAGAATGAGTCTTTTTATGTGCAGCTTCTGCAAAGCAAGTTGTAAATTAAACAAAGCAGTAATATATAATGTTTCTGGTTTTTTAATATATTTTTTTTCATCCAGCTGGGAACACAGAGGAGTCTCGGCTTTGGGAAGTGCACTGTTCCCGTCTGTGTATATTGTTAATTAACATTTCTCTGCTTGGGCACGTTAGGTCTCTTGCACTCTGAAATGTTACTTTTCTTTATATGCAAACTGTTGAAATATTGTGATCTGCTGTATAATAAATAAACAAGATGTAAACATGAAAGAGCCAGGAGAGTTTACTTTAAAGTTTTCTTCTAAGAGGAGAGGGTGAGGCTGGGCTTGTTTGTCAGTAAATATTTACATCGATGTTCATTTCTGCTTAAGTTAGCTGCGGAGGATCGATGGGGAACGCCCAAGCCTCGGCAGCTGAGCAGCATCTCCTGTGCAACAGCTCTTGAGTCACCCCACTTCCCTGTGCCTCAGTTTCCCTAATCTGCAGATGGGGCAATTGCGGCACCGGGATGGTGTGACTGGTCCTGCGGTGAGTCACCTCCAAGGGGAATGACAGCCGAAACTACCGGGAGCCCTGCTGGTCCCGTCTTCTTCCCGAGCGGTCCTGTCCCGCTGTCCCCTGCAGTGGGAGCTCTGCGGTACTGGCCTTGTGATCACAACTGGGAGGTCGGTCGGTGACTGCTGCCCAGTCCTGTGTGCTGTCTGTGCTTTCCTCCCGGGGATGGCCCGGCGGCTTGGCGGGGTTCAGGTGCTGAGGTTTCCCTGCGTTAATAGGTGGTGACTCAGCACAAGCGTGCTGGCAGGTCCCGAGCTCAGCAAGCAGGTCTGGCTCCATCCCTCCCTCCCACAGCTGATTACCCGTGATGCACGCATCCCTCTGAAGCACGGACTTGTCCGGACCTGACACCATGCTGGCAGCGCAGGGAGCGCGCTCACGGGCTGTGTGATGCCCTGGCCCAGGGTGGTGGTGGCAGCGGCTTCCTCCTCCTGTGCTCCCTGCCGCAACCCCTGGCGGCTGGCCATGGCTGGGGGATGCCCTGGGGCTCCTTGCCC